GGGAGCACCGCTCACAAAGCCAGCTAGCTGCTACGCTTGGCAGGGAAGGAGAAAAATGCCCTCAGAATATACGAGATGAGAAAGAGAGAAAAGGGAGAGGAGGGGGGTGTGAGAGAGAGAGAGAGAGAGAAAAGACAGCTCTGCAACACTCAGCACTTCTAATCAGAACGCAGCCCAAACCAGTCATTTTGCGGCGAGGTTTGTGTGCAAGCGTGAAAAAATGCCATTCGTACATCGGAGCGCTCCGGCATGGAAAAAGCGCATTCCGAGGCTGAAATACTGTGTTTGGATTCTTACGAACCTTGCAACCACATCTGGAAACATTATTCTTGGAAGACAGGTCATTATCCATCTTAGCCAGCATAGGAACTTTCAGAGGCTAGTGGGGAAAACAGAGAGGAGAAAAACATGAAGTGAAAAACAATAAATTGGAGCGGTCAGACGGACGACCGCTGCGGACGTCTGGATGCAGAGCTTGCTCTGATTAGCGGTGATCCTGTTTGTGACACACTCCCTGTGTCTCAAACCAGGCAATACATACTTCGCTGTCTACTGTCTGGATTGTTGTAGCGATGGATTGTCTCAAATCAAACACTAATGTTTTGCACTAAGCGGAACTGGCAAATTACGTACACAATCATTGAATCATGTTGGAATATCATCTGTACCATATCAACTAACCACCATTTTTTAAATCCCAAATATGGAAGGACAAAGACAACTCTTAATTGTACAGGGTAGCAGTAATCTTGCCTGGTGCATTGGCCATTTCACATCTTGGTAGCCTCTGGTGGTCCCTTCCCTTCTACCTATGGCATCCTGCAACCGAGTACAAACAGTTCATGTTTCACTCATTAGCAGTTGTGTTATATCATTCGGGTACTGAAGTCAACATGGATCAGAACATATTCTCTTTCATTACTGTGGATGTATTTCAGAAAGAAACGCGAGAGTCTTAGGGAGAGTCTCTGAGGTATTTGAGAGTTTTGCTCAATGACAGGTGAGGGTGGTGGGAGGGGGAGGTGAATCATGGTATTATTAATATTATTCATCCCCACCGCCTGATGCACAGTGATGTAATCAAAACTCAGAAGACATTTTTGAGGCGAAGTCACTAGAATTTGATCTGTGCACTGAAAGTGGCAAGTGTACTGCAAAAGAATATGATTTGACACAGAATCAGGCCTACAGAGATCTACATTTAAAAGGTTAAAATGTGCGAACAGCAGCAAATCTGTGTAATGGAACTGTGTAGGGGTGCTAAGCCCTTGCAATTGTGTAGTGTCTACAGAGTGTTCGTGGTAGCCAAAGCCGAGAGAACAATGATGTCATGGAATCAGTGACATGTCTTGAAAGTGCAGAAAGCTGACAAATGGTTGCAGACTGATTGATAACACTTTGAAAAGTGAGCTTCTTGTGGAGTGGCCCTGCTTTAGAGCAGCTGTCGTAGTTGAAATAAGGTGGTTTGGCCAGCGGGTTAGTCAGCAGAAATGGTTTGACTGGTTGATATCTCTGTGTTTCTGCATGCATGCTCTAGAAACACAGTCGTGGCTGCAAATAGAGTTACCGCAAAGACTTCTGCTTGTGTTTGTCCTATTTTTTTTTTTTTTCAGTATAACCACAAGGCCCCACCTCCACCCCATACACACTCACACAAACACCCACACGGAGCAGCCTGCAAGCTCTCGGCTCTGTGGTTAGGGCTAGTCTCAGTGTGAGAGGAGGAACTGGCTGCTGGCCCACTGGTTCCTTTCTTTGGCACTGGAGTTTCCATTAGTGCACGTTTCCAGCACCCCAGGACAACTTTCCATCTTTTACACAAGGTCGAGATCACACAACTACTGGTCCTCTCAACCCTAGAGCAGTGTTTGACGGCCAGAGGGTCCTCTGTGGCTGTCTTCTGCCACTAATCTGCAGTCAGACCTGCCACAACACTTCCCTGCAAGCAGGGAGAGTACCAAGGTGACTAAGGTCCACAGCAAGAACCCCTTCAGCAATGACGTGGCCTCGGATGATTATTATGGCAGAGGGTAGCATCCTGCCCCTTTAGATTCAACTCAAAAAAGTCCAAAAGCCTTCAGTGGTTGCATCTAGAGTGTTAGAAGAGAGAGAATAATAATCTGTGCATTGCTATGCCCTACAGGACCTGAGTTTGACACCACTCTTTTAGGGATTGCGTAGTTGACAAGGCCAAGGTTCTCAGTCCTGGTCCTGGAGTATCTTCTGTTCTGTACATGTTGTTGTTTGTCTTAATGTAATACACCCACTTTAACTCAGAAAGGGCTTTTTAATTGTTGGATTAGGTGTGTTATGGAAGGGAAAATACCAAAATATGCATGACGGGGCACTCCAGGAGCAGAGGTAGGAACTCCTGGATCATTCAAAGAATATATCTTCTTGTTGGCAGTTGTTGACTAGTCAGGGACAATGGCTGTGAGTAGTTAGCTTGCAAGAAGAGGGTCCAGAAAGTTGTTCTGCAAAAAACAAAGCCTGAAGTACTTAAGTATTGTGGAAATACTTCACCATTTCCACTGTGAACTGCCAGACTATGTAAACTGACAGTCAATGTTAAATTAAAACCAATGATTTGCAGTCACTATCATATTAAAATCGTGAAACTTTTTTACATCATTTGATAGCAGTATCTGCCCTTTACGTTGTGAGGAGAGTTCATGACAAATTAACTTACAGAGATGCTCCAAAATGACTTAAATTACAATAAAATTTATGAACATCTTTTCCTTTGCAAAGTCACTATTTCAGAGAAACAATGTTTGCTTATAACAACAACATTGTATGGAGTTTTGAGGTCCTAGTGAGGTTTGCAGCAAGCTCATCTAGGCCCGGTTTGTAAGAACAGGACGCAGGATATATCTCCAGCCCTGGGGGGCCCTAGTCTGGGCCTCAGTGCTGGCTGTGGGAGAGCGGGTAGGAAGAAAAGTGTAGCCCTGGCTCGGCTGGGCACTCAGTGTAGGAACTGTTTAGTCATGCACTGATCCCACCGAGTCGGGAGCAGAAATTGGCCTCGCATGATGTAAATAGCTCGGTGTGTTGTGGAAAAGGCTGGCAGAGGCTGAGAGTGGAGATCATTTAGCTTCGGTAGGAATTTCAATCTGCCTCTCTACTGTAATGTAGTATCTCTCTAAATCTGTTGAGGTCTTTCATTCTCTTTCTATTCCTTTCTCTTTCACTCAGTCTGTCTTTGCATTTCTTTCTTTGCTCTCTTAGCCTCTTCCTTTCTTTCTCTGTTTTTCTTTCTCCCTTTATCTCTCTGCCTTGCCCTTTCTCTCTCTCACTCTCTCTCTCTCTCTTTCTGGCTTGATGGTCATCCAGAGAGATAAGGTTGTAACTGAATGTGGTTGTAAATGAGATTTCCTCAAAAGAAGAATTAAGTCTGAGCTTTCGGCTCTTCTTATTGAGCTTTGTGCTCTACATTCAACTTGTACTGATTAGAGTAGCCAAACACTGTTTGTTTGCAGGTGAAGCAGAAAAATATTTTTTTTGTTGATGAGAGAAAACAGTACGGTAGTTGTTTAGTTAAGGGGACAGTGTGTGTGTGTGTGTGTGTGTGTGTGTGTGTGTGAAGGCAGCAAGTGGGAGCAGCCAAGCCAAACAGCAGAATTGCAAAAGTACACACAAAGAAAAGAGCACACATTTACGATGAACACCTCCCCACACTGCCATGAGACATAAAGAAAAATCAATACGCAGTGTGTGTCTTTGATAAGCGAGGATAAAAACACATTCACATTGTATATTCACTATGTGTCTTACAGTGAAGGTCTGCGAGTTATTAATTCACTGTAACATTTTGTGTGTGTGTGCACGTGTGTGTGTGCACGTGCATGTGTGTGACTGTGTGTATGCATCCTCAGATGAAGTATGAAGGCATTCATGGCTTTGTTTTCATGTTGCTCCAGAAGAGATTGTGCGTGCGTGTGTGTGTGTGTGTGTGTGTGTGTGTGTGTGTGTGTGTGTGTGTCTGATCTGTTTCCTCTCTGCATGGTTAAAGCTGTGAGGGGGTGGTCATGGTGAGATGTTAAATCATGCTGCTATAGCAACACTGAGTGATAGAGTGGATCAGGGATCAGGGTAGTGTTTCCGTGTGTGTGTGTGTGTGTGTGTGTGTGTGTGTGTGTGTGTGTACTGTTCAAAAGTTTGGATTCACTTGTCATATTAATAATCGCTGTTATTTTATTCAATAATAATGTACTATTTTTCTGTTTTTGGTCATTTCCTATCAATATTTAATCATCACTATGACGCATTTTGTTAAACTATAGAGTTTCAGCAGCACATAATTATTTTATACATATTATCACAGTTTTATTATTTGTATAAACATTTCATGATGGCCGATGGAAAATATTCCAAAATGTAATTCCTGAATTCTGAATGATGATCTTGATCTGAATGGTAATTCCAAACTGTTAAGCAGTGATTCCAATATTTTGAACAATGATTCTAGGACGTTGAGTGAAGATTCCAAACTTTTGAATTGTGATTCTAGAATTTTGGTCATTCCGTTGAACAGTGATTGAAAACTTCCGGACAGCAATTCCAAACTTTTGGACCATGATTCCAGAATGTTGAATGATAATTCTAGACTTTGAGTGGTGATTGCAGAAGTTTGAGTGGTAATTCCAGACTTTGGAGTGGTGATTCCAGGATTTTTGAACAACTTCCAAACTTTCCAAACTTGGATTCTATCATTTGGAATGACATTTCCAAACTTTTTATTGGTGATTGTAATATTTTGAACCATGATTCCAGACTTTTGTATGGTGATTTCAGAATTTTGAATGACGAGTACAAACTTTTTCGTGGTGATTCCAGAATTTTGAATGATGATTCCAGAATTCTAAATGGTGATTCCAGAATTTTGAACTGTGATTCCTCACTTTTGCACTGTTGAACATGTGTGTGCACTCTTGCCACTGTTGCCACCCTGCTGCTGTGCTGCTGCTGTTTGCTAACGTTTCCCCTTCATGTCTCCATAGGGTGAGAGCGGTATGTCCGTGGATGAGCAGCCTGAAGCCCCGATGTACGTGTATGAGTCGACGGTGCACTGCACGAACATCCTGCTGGGCCTGAACGAACAGCGGCAGCAGGGCCTGCTGTGTGATGTCACCGTGCAGGTGGAGGGCAAAGAATTCCGAGCCCACCGGGCCGTACTGGCCGCTTGTAGCGAGTACTTCCTCCAGGGCCTGGTGGCTCACGGAGACAAGGAGCTGGTCTTCACCATGCCTGACGAGGTACGGGACAACACACGCTCATACACATGTTAGCCAGTTTAGCATCCGTGCTGTCTATATACCAGTGCAAGATGTTGACAGATATATAAATCATCTGAATTGCTAACATATTGAACAATTCATTGCCAACTATTGTTCTTTAGTTCATTTTTGTAGTTTTGTACATTTTTTTTCTAAAATTCTTTGTGCTTGGCATTTTCAGACTAGTTGTGCAGTTTCCTATAGATTAGCACATATTTCTTTAATTTACATTGTACGGGTGCCTGAATGGTGCAACTGACTAAGCATTATGAGGCTGCAAGTCACCAGCGATGCCACAGCCATCTGTGACTGTGAGTCCAAGAGAACATAATTTGTCCTCTCTCTCTCTCCATCACTCAGTGCAATGCTAGACAGAGTGGTGATCTATTAGCTGATGTAACAGAATTGGCAGTTAGTGCTCTCCTGCAAGCGTGTTGAGCCGTCCAATGATGTTGTATTAGTGGCAGTTCGAAAAGGCTTCCTGTACATGTCATGAAGGAAATGTGTGCTATTTTTCACTCTCATGGAATCATGTGGATCAGTGGTGACCTAGCTAGCTGATGGAAATGGACATGTCTAAATTGGGGAGAAAATCATATGAAAATATCCCCCCAATTTTTTTCCATTGTATAAATTCATTGTGCATAAATTACACAGGCTGTGTGCGAAGGCCTTTACTCTCCAGTGCCTATTGTTCCAGAATGACAATCAGCCTTCAATGTGGTCAACAACATATAAACAACAGTATGATGTTGAAATCTAATGCATGGTCATATAACAGCACATGAGTACTTATGTGGTCTGAACATATGTGCTGACATACATTCTAGCAAACACTTCAGCTGGCTCTCAGAGACACATATAGCACTCGTTGGTGGCTCATGTCAGACACATATGTCATAGTCTGTTATCTGATGTGTGTTAGCAGCTTTTTTTTAACTAAAAATGTTGCTACGTCCAGATCCTTCAAAAGCAATCAAAAGACATTAAGTGCGTGTCAAGAATGGTGGCCAATAATAGATCCACTTTCTGGCCTAACAGTTGGCTAGGTGTGCTTTCGTTAAAGTTTCTCTTTTTTTCTCCAAACATACCTTTGGTGATTGTAGTTCGATTTTTGTTTCATCAGACCGCAGAACTTGAACCAGATTGCCTCTGGCTTATCTCGATGTTGTTTTGCATACTTCAGACATTGTTTGTGATAAGATCACAGTTAAGGTTACCTTCTGATGATTCTTCCATGTCGACAAGTTTGCAACAGCACTGCGCAGTGGACTGTTGCATTACTATTCTAGTGCTAGCCAAATCTTCCTGTAGGCCCGTGGCAGTAATGTGGGGGTTTTGCTTTGCATACTTGACCAGTCTATGAGCAGTTCTATAATTCCTAATCTTGTCTTGACTTCAACAGTTCTCTCAACTTCCATGGCTTAATTTCATTCCAAACGGCAAAAATTACACAGGAAGTCATATCTTGCTTTGTAAGAGTCTATTATCTTTAGTTTTAGATCATGAGATGAGCCCACTGCTGTCATGTACCTTGAAAAGTTTAAAAGAGTCAAATAATTACAGAACTTGTTAAGCTCTGGAATTGTCCACACATTTGGATTGTAAATGAGGCCTAATAAGTAAAATACGCTCAACCTAAACGTGTGATGTATTATTTTCCAATATGTTCAATTCAGCAGATAAATTGTAAGTGTGCATTAAAATTTACATATGTCAAATTGAAGTTCCATGCGGAGGCGGTGTTAATGTCTTTTCGCTTAGAAAATCAACTAAAGGTGAGATCTGACAAGTACTGCCCAAACTGTATAGGCGGCTCGCAATAGCAAAAATGTCTTGTTGCAAGAGTAGAATCATCACTTATCACCTTACTACTATCATCAATTATCACCTTACTATCACACGCTCCATGTACATCCACACAAATGAAGTGATTCGAGTTTTTTTACTTAGTGTCACTGTCACATATTTATACTCCATTGCACATGGTATATGTATGTATATATGTGTGTATATTTATATATATATGAAGAATATGAAGAACGGACCAAAAGAAACGGCCGAAAATGTCTGGTTCCATTGACTCACATTAAAAGTAAAGTAGTTTTTTTCCTTTTCATATAAAGTTATCATTTTGGAGATACAAGGTTTTCTTCCGACACTAGCAATATATATATAATATATATGAAATATATGTTCCACATGTGTCTCGTTGTTGCAGGAGCATTCTGCAGACAGAAGAGCTCATTACCATATACATTAATCACACCAGACATGTTAAGTTTCTGTATGCACCATGAAACCCTCTTCTTACATTTCATTTTATTTTTGCTCCCTTGTAGCTGATTGAAATATTAAGCATGTTGAAAGTACAGATTCTAAAGCTAAATTACCTAAATATATAACAAGCTGTATATCAATGTAATTACATTTAAAATATATGGCAAAAACAACCATATCTCTGATTCTAAACGTTCAGTCCATGCCTCATTTGTGTTTATATGTAGAAGATATTCAAATTAAGTTGGTGGAAAGAACAAAAAAGACAAAATGTGCCCGATTTTTTCTGTTGTTGACATCGAAACAAAGAGAAAAACAGTAAAAACCTGTCAGAACAGTGCAAATGTAATTGGTTAATAACTATGTAATTAAATATGGAATTATATAACTACATTTCACTAAGTATGTAATGCAAATTGAATAGCAAATGCCAATTAACATCTAGGGTTAGAAAAAAGACGTAAATATGTTAAGAAGTTTAAATATTACCTACAGTGTAATGACAGTAGTAACTCTCAACATCTTTAGGGTTCACAGAGAAAGTTATGAGGTGATAAGAGCCGTCACTTTTCAGCGTTTTCCTTTGTCAGACCCGGGTCTGATGTTTGTCAGCTCGCAGGATGTCTGCACGGTAAAGAGCACAGTGCCGATCCACTTCTCCCTCTCGTCGTTCATTAATTATTCACCCCTCGCTCCCACACTCAGGTGTGAGTGAGAACGGCAGGAGAAAGTGACATCTTTCATTAACGGGGGGGATAAAATTCCTTGAGCGCTCACACTCACCTCTGGTGCAGGCGAGAACGTGTTATTTTGGTGAGAAGCTTGACGCGGTTCCTGCTAGACTGACTGCCATTAGACGTTCTACTGTTGTCAGTGAAAGTGTTAAATGAACAGGCCTTCTTACTGCTGGAGGTCAGTCTATATGGTGCGTGTACAATTAGTTCACAAATGTATTGTTTATGATATCATTTCTGGCTGTATTTCATTATTCATTTGCATTATTTGCTTTCGCTTAGTATTCTGTATTGTCTGTTTATGTAAGTGCCAATTCGAGAAAGACACGTTTCGAGTACATATGAGTGATTCTGATTCTCACAAAGTGAGACTAAGCCTCAATCCCATTTCTTGTTCTTACCCCTACCCCCTGTTTTCAAGTGTCAAGTGTTTCGAGTGCACTAAGTTACAAGGGGTAGTGGTGGAAATCTTCCCCCTACAAAATGGGACCCTCAAATAAAAAGAACATTACTTCATTAACAGCTACTAGCGCTGCTCTGTAGGCGACCTTGCCAGTCTACAGTGATAGCAGAGGAGGGTGAAGTTCAGCAACCTCACTGCTGGGCTTTAGTTAGCTTTAGGACATCATATGTCTTCAAATAAAGGGGTGTGACAGTTGTTTTATTATCGCCCACCCCTAATTCTTCAGTGATATGAAGCTGAAGTCAGATATTCGCCAGCTTCTTGTTCAAATCTTTCCATTCCACCTTAAATAGAACAGAAGTTCTGATGCCTGAGGTGCCAGAATGTAACTGCTGCACCATTTAAGGTGAAATGGGGGGATTTAGCTAGCTAACTACCGAGACATCAGCCACTACTAGCACTGCTACTTCATACATACAATGGTTATCATCATTTTTAACAGAGAAAATCCTCACATTTGTGGGTTTCTTTGGTCGCTCAGCCATCTCACCGTTTTTCTGTTCTTCTCGTAACACTCTGTTTGGAGTGTGTCTCTGAAAAACCTCCGTTTGGAGGCCCATGTAGCTCTAACACTTTGCCCTGCCCCCTCAACAAAACTCAGGACACCCAACCCCTAGACATGAACACGCAAAACAGAGAGGTAAAGGCTAAGTGGTAGGGGCGAGGGGTGAAATGGGATTGAGCCCAACACAAGGTCTTTTTGTACTTTGCATGTTCCTGTTGTCACAGTTGATGGTTTCCCAACATTGAGATTTGATACTGACGAATTAAAAGACTTTCCTCTTAGAATTTTGTCTTGCTGTACATTTGAGTCATATTCCATAGTCCTAATTATTGAATTGTAATTACATAATGAATTACATAGTCTTATATAATAAAGTACATTGTTTCAGTAGTGTCAGATCTGCACTTCCAACATCTGTTTGTTTTGATGTCAAGGAAAGAAAGTCATGCCAAAATATTAAGGATCTTTTTCTAAAAAACAAAACTGTGGTGACACCAATAACGTCAAAGCCAATTCAAATCATAATCAAATTTCAGCAGTGCTTCTTTTACAGTCCCATGAGTTCTAGGTAACTATGAGGTCCAGAAAGTTTCTTCTACTGTTGCAAGCTTGACATAAGTTTTATATAGGTTCTTTGTAGAATTTGTACCTTATAGTCACCTAGAACTCATGGGACTGTGACAGAAAGCATTACTGAAATTTTACTATGATTTTAATGAACACTCAACGTATCACATGATTTAAAGGTTCTTTGCATCATGAAAGATTCCTCAGATTGATGGAGAATCTGTTGTATATGGTTCTGCATATGACTGTTGTCTTTGCTAAAGAACCATCTTTTTTAAGAATGTAGAACTTGCGAGACTTCAAAACAAAGCATTGGCAAAATTGTATTATGATTAAAATATGAGGGAAAGTTATTGTTGTATCCACTTTCTTGTTTTGCAGGACTCATCTGGTTAATATCTAGAACTCAAGGGACTGTAAAATCAAATAT